TTGAATTATGAATATTTTTATATAAAGTAAAAAATTTTCTTACTTTTTTTCTTCAATTGGATTTTTCTTAAACTCTTGATTGTTGGCCTCTATGGATGATAATTATAATCAAGAATATTCTACTTATTCAACTTCTAGTAGTACACCTAATACAAATCAATGAACAGGTACTTTAGATCAAGATAACAATGTTTCAGTTTCTTTTTCTCAATTATCACCACGATCTTTAGCCAATAAAACTTCTAATAATAATAATAATAATGTTAAAAGAGTAAAACTTTCTGATAAACCTGATTTGGTTCAAACCTTTTTTGAATTTTATAACCAGCCTGGAATTAAACCTGAGGACAAACCAATAACTAAGGCCAAATGTAAGGTCAAAGGTTGTCAAACTCAATATGTATAGCATGGTTCAACAACTAATATGGTCAATCACCTCTGTGACATTCATTATATTACAAAAACATCACTTGAACATAGCTCAGTTGAAGAGCTTAAAAAATCCTCTCAACAAACCATAGAAATCACTTTATCAAAACCTTATTCAGTATCAAGACAACAAAAGCTTACACGAGATATTATCATATTTTTTATTTCATGTACACTTCTCTTATCTTTAATAGAAAATAAAAATTTTCGTATCTTTTTAAATTCATTTGACCCTCGATACAAACCACTATGTGTAAATACAATTAAAAATAAAATTGTAAATAGAACAAATCATACAGCTCAAAGTATTAAAAGTATGCTTATACAAATAAACACAGTATCACTCATATTTGATATATGGACTTCTTGGGCACATGTTTCTTATCTAGGTGTAACCTGCCACTGGATTTCAGATGAATTTCGCATTTATAATCTTACACTAGGCATAATTGAAATGGGAGTATATAAAACTGCTGATGATATTATTAATACTATCAAACCTATGCTTGAAGAATTTGGTCTAAATGGAAGTAAAATATTAAGATAACCACAGATAATGGCTCTAATGTCAAATTAGCTGTTACAAGATTATCAGCAAGACTTTCAGTATCAAACCCAATTGTTAATATTTTTTGTGCTGTGTATACATTGCAGTTAAGTGTTAAAGCAGGTTTGGAAGTTGCATATAACTTACTTATAAAATACAAAGCTTTAATTTCACTTTTAAGTAGAGAAAAAAAAAGAAAGCAATTAAAAAAAGCTCAAATCAGAGTAGGTATATTAAAAGCTAATGTAGTTAATATAATAACAGATGTGGCAACATAGTGGAATTCCACCTACATGGCTCTTGAAAGACTTGCTGAGCTCGAATATCCAATTAAGTGGCTAGCTAATGACCTTGAAAATTCAACCAATAATGATTATTGTTATGATGGTGCTAATATTTGTAACAAGCTATTATCAAATGAAGAATTTAAAGTTGTAAAGGCTCTTGTTAAACTTTTATATCCATTTGATAAAGCCACAGAAATTCTTTCCAGATCAAATTATACTACATTGAGTATAATAGTTCCAACAATCGAAAAATTAGTTTATCGACTAAATAATACAGATAGTGATTTTGATATTATAAATAAGGTAAAAGAAGAAATTTTATCTAACCTGTCAAGTCAATGGTCCCTGCTACATGATTATGGAATGTATGTGTCTTTACTTGATCCTCGATTCAAGAATCTATCTTTCTGTTCAAATGTAAGTATATTTGATATATTTGTAAAAAAAATACATGATTCAGTAAAATAATATAAGTGTTGCAAAGCTAAAACCTGCAAATTTTATCTGATAAACTTATCTAATAAAATTTGCAGGTAACACTTATATGGTCTTGTCACATCATATTTAAAAAAGTTTGATCAAATTATATAATATAATTTAAATCTTCTTTAAAATTATATACTACTTATAGTTCTTTTACTAGATGCTAAAACAGAGAACAATTGAAGGGTTATGAAATCAGTTCAATTAATTAAAAAGTATAAGTCAAGCAGAAACTAATACAAGTTTATCTAGAAAAGAGGCTATAAAAAAAAAAAATCAGCAATGAAAAGCTTTTTCTCTTCATTCCGGCAGCAGTATGATGAATTTGTAGAGCAAACTGAAATTGATAAATATCTTGCACTTCCTGAAATTGAAACAACAGAAGAAAATAATCTGGTAGTTTGGTGGAAGCAGCGAAGATTAAAATTCCCAATTCTTTGCATACTTGCAAAAAAATACCTTGCAATTCCCACTTCGTTTGTCCCTTCAGAATGCTTGTTCTCAGATGCTAGCAACTATGTAACTCCCAAACAAAACTGATTAGACCTCTACTTCTTGCATCAATTGTTATTTTAAAACGAAATCTTGCTTATGTTGATATTTTGTAGTTTTTTAGCTTCTTAGGGTATCTGACTTTAGATACGTAGTAAATGCCCATTATATAGTAATTATGTCATTGTATTAATTGTTATACTTTTTTTTTTTTTTTTTTTAGTAAATTGCTTATATGCTATAATTTTTTATTAATTAAGAACTTAAGAACTTATTATATATTGTATATTATAAGAATTAAGTTGTGCTACATTAGTCTATCTAATGACACACACTCTAGTGTTCCAAATTGGACCAAAAAATATAATCGATTAGTTGGCTAAATTTTTTTTGAGCAATCGATTAAAAATCGATTGTACCAACTAATCAATTAATCAAATTAATCGAATAGTCGATTAATCAATTAATCGAATTAGTCGATTAATCGATTAATCGATTAATTCGATTAAATTAATTAAATCGATTAAATCGATTAATTCGATTAAATTGATTAAATCGATTAAATCAATTAATTCGATTAAATCGATTAAATCAATTAAATCAATTAATTCGATTAATTCAATTAAATCGATTAATTTGATTAATTCGATTAAATCGATTAAATCGATTAAATTGATTAAATCGATTAATTCAATTAATCAGATTAATTGATTACATAGTAGTTATCAGTTAGGTATTTAATTCGATATCGATTAAGTATTCTCACTTAAGATGTATATCTTTTATTAGAAATTTTTACTACTCGCAATTTTTACAATATTCGTGTAATCAAACATAGAGGTTCTACCTTTAGAGTTGCTACTCTAGGTAATAAAGGTTGTATAGTACCTAACTGAAATTAAGCTTCTCGAATCGGATCTTGTAATTAAAAGAGAATACATACTATAAGTTGATTCACTTCATTGGCTCAGCCTCGAAATTCATATCTAATTATTGTGGAATCAATTTCAGAAGTCCAATGAATGAATCTAATTTAATCGATTTACAGGTTTTTGTTACTCTAATAGCTAATAATAACTTTCAAATTTAAGGTGTATATAAGCAACTACATATGTAATAATTATACGTATTAAGATAAAATAGAGACAAGGTAAGAAAAGTAAAATATAATATGAATAAATTTAATTAAACCACATGTACTAACTAAATTTTGTTAATACATTAATATATATATAATCCTAAAAAATATAATTATTTCAACACTCTAAATCGTTGAGAACTTACAGGTAAATAAAAAAAAAAAGAAAAGCTAATAAAGTATATCTATTTAATTGGGGGAAAAATATCTACATAAGCAAGATTTCGTTTTAAAAATAACAATTGATGCAAGAGGTAGGGGTCTAATCGGTTTCGTTTGAGAGTTACATGGTTGCCGGCATCTGAGAACAAGCGTTCTGAAGGGACAGACGAAGCGGGAATTGCAAGGTATTTTTTTGCAAGTGTGCAAAGAATTGGGAATTCTAATCTTCGCTGCTTCCACCAAACTACCAGGTCATTTTCTTCTGTTGTTTCAATTTCAGGAAGTGCAAGATATTTATCAATTTCGGTTTGCTCTACAAATTCATCATGCTGCTGCTGGACTGAAGAGAAAAAGCTCTTCATTGCTGAATTTTTTTTTTTTACAGCCTCTTCTCTAGGTAAACTTGTATTAGTTTCTGCTTGACTTATACTTTTTAATTCATTGAACTGATTTCGTAACCCTTCAATTGTTCTCTGTTTTAGCGTCTAGTAAAAGAACCATAAGCAGTATATAATTTTAAAGAAGATTTAAATTATATTATATAATTTGATCAGACTTTTTTAAATATGATGTGACAAGACCATATAAGTGTTACCTGCAAATTTTATCAGATAAGTTTATCAGATAAAATTTGCAGGTTTTAGCTTTGCAACACTCATATTATTTCACTGAATCGTGTATTTTTTTCACAAATATATCAAATATACTTACATTTGAACAGAAAGATAGATTCTTGAATCGAGGATCAAGTAAAGACGCATACATTCCATAATCATGTGGCAGTGACCATCGACTTGACAGGTTAGATAAAATTTCTTCTTTTACCTCATTTATAATATTGAAATCACTATCTGTATTATTTAGTCGATGAACTAATTCTTCGATTATTGGAACCATTATACTCAATGTAGCATAATTTGATCTGGAAAGAATTTCTGTGGCTTTATCAAATGGACATAAAAGTTCAACAAGAGCTTTTACAACTTTAAATTCTTCATTTGATAATAGCTTGTCATGAATTTTAGCACCATCACGACGATAATCATTATTGGTTGAATTTTCAAGGTCATTAGCTAGCCACTTAATTGGACGTTCGAGCTTAGCAAGTCTTTCAAGAGCCATGTAGGTGGAATTCCACCATGTTGCCACATCTGTTATTACATTAACTACATTAGCTTTTAATATACCTACTCTGATTTGAGCTTCTTTTAATTGCTTTTTTTTTTTTTCTCCACTCAAAAGTGAAATCAAAGCTTTGCATTTTATAAGTAAGTTATATGCAACTTCCAAACCTGCTTCAGCACTTAACTGCAACGTATGCGCAGCACAAAAAATATTAACAATTAGGTCTGATACTAAAAGTCTTGCTGATAATCTTGTAACAGCTAATTTGACATTAGAGCCATTATCTGCAGTTATACTTAATATTTTACTTCCATTTAGACCAAATTCTTCAAGCATAGGTTCGATAGTATTAATGATATCATCAGCAGTTTTATATGCTCCCATTTCAATTACGTCTAGTATAAGATCATAAATGCGAAATTCATCTGAAATCCAGTGGCAGGTTATACCTAGATAAGAATCATGTACCTGAGAAGTCCATATATCAAATGTGAGTGATACTGTGTTCGTTTGTATAAGCATACTTTTAATACTTTGAGCTGTATGATTTGTTCCATTTACAATTTCATTTTTAATTGTGTTTACACATGGCGGTTTGTATCGAGGGTCAAATGAATTTAAAAAGATACGAAAATTTTTATTTTCTATTAAAGATAAGGGAAGTGTACACGAAATAAAAAATATGATAATATCCCGTGTAAGCTTTTGTTGTCTTGATACTGAATAAGGTTTTGATAAAGTGGTTTCTATGGTTTGTTGAGAGGATTTTTTAAGCTCTTCAACTGAGCTATGTTCAAGTGATGTTTTTGTAATATGATGAATATCGCGGAGGTAATTGACCATATTAGTTGTTGAACCATGCCATACATATTGAGTTTGACAACCTTCGACCTTACATTTGGCCTTAGTTATCGGTTTGTCCTCAGGTTTAATTCCAGGCTGGTCATAAAATTCAAAAAAGGTTTGAACCAAACCGGGTTTATCAGAAAGTTTTACTCTTTTAACGTTATTATTATTATTATTAGAAGTTTCATTGGCTAAAGATCGTGGTGGTGATTGAGAAAAAGAAACTGAAACATCGTCGTCTTGATCTAAAGTACCTGTCCATTGATTTGTATTAGGTGTACTACTAGAAGTTGAATAAGTAGAATACTCTTGATCGTAATTATCATCCATAGAGGCCAACAATCAAGGTGAAGGAAGAGTTTAAGAAAAATCCAATTGAAGAAAAAAAGTAAGAAAATTTTTTACTTTATATAAAAATATTCATAATTCAA